CAACAAAGGTTTCTTTAATAACATGTTTTCTGCCTCAGCTCCCGAATCTTTCGATTACCAGCAGCAGCAGCTACCTCCCAGCACATCCTACGGCCATCCCTTAGGCAATTCCGTCAAGTACGAGGAGTACTTCAATCCTCAGAACACCATATCTTTGAAGCAACAGAAACAAACTGAAAATAAACTCCCTTCCATCGATCAAGATCAACCCATCATCTTCAAGCTGGACATTCCGAAACAGGCTGTGTCTACTGGCGACAACGACGAGAAAACTCAGATCTTCATCGGGATGAACGTTCCTCTCGAATCCCTTCCGTATAAATCAGCTGGGGATTTCGTGAAGCCGACTCCGTACGAGAACGAAGTTTCCTCCCAATTCCTCATTAATTATCCGGATCCTACGTATCCAACGTACAAGAAACCTTTGTTCGACAGCTACCCTCAAGCTTCCAGGCTTCTGCCGAAAAGGACTCCGGCGCGGTTTAACAAACCGCATCCCCAGAAACACTTCAGACCCCATCAGCATCAGCAGTTGCCACAAAACCCAAACTTTGAAATCTTGCGGTCCATGGCTTTCGAGCTCGGACCAAGAGGCGCCGTGAAGGTGTAAAGACTGACGGACCGATACGATACAAATTACAAATATAGACTTACTTTGAGGTACAATACATACTTCATCTACTTCATACTAGACCACCAATTTTACTCGACTCACATACTTGCATATTATTTTCAAACCACTTCTTCTTACAGTTATATAAATCTTAAACCACTCTACAACTTGACATTTACCTTCACCAACTCGTTTTAATGAACGTCAAATTAACAACTCTTAAACTTTTAAATACGATCTACAACTAGTTTATATCACATTATTTACTAAAAACTAAAACTTTCTTCAATTTTACTTAAAATCAGTTTTTTTGCACAACTAATTTAAATCCAAATAATTATTTAACATTTTATCATAATTAACTTGATTGTATAACTAATTTCTAAATCTATACCATTATGTATATAATAATACTAAAAATAATGTACTAAAAGCAAATATTTCAACTTTGATTTCAGGTGGAAAGAACTACGCCACATTTGATCCATACTACTGATCAGGAATCCACTGAATTCCAAATGCGTGCGAAAGAATACCTCAAAAGTCTAACCTTTTGTACATAAGATGTTTTTCGTTTTTAGTCACTTAAGAAAAAAAAAATAAGTTTCTTTATTTTTTTTTTCTATCTTCTATATTTGTTTTAAATAATTTTATTATTTGTTTTTTTTTTTAATTACATCTTATAT